CAATAGTAACCCTTCTCGAGTCTAACACAATTTTCAACCCCTCTCTGCCACGCTTCTATTAGAAGGATTCTTCTTGGTTATCTCTCAGCTCCGAGAAAAAGAAAAAGTAACACAGAAGAAGGCAAGATGGGAGGTTGTTCCAGTACGGTGATGTTGTTCTCGGCCAGGAACAACCGGATGATCAGGGCGTTGTGAGCAGGTAAATTGTCCTGGTGAAACAACCACGATTGATTCTGCCAGAACTCTCGTCTCTTCTCGCGCATTGAGCAAAGCAAATGCGGCAGTATCTCTTTTTAGACTTATTGATTGATCTTCTGGCTCTGTGGCAAGAACACAGTCCCGTTACTTTTCAGACAGACTTCGTATAAACTATGTACATGTTAAGTAACACTTAGCCTCAAAATTTATATGAACAGAATGCTCGGTAAGGAACTATAGTAAATTGGAAGCAAAACGAGATAATAATAATAATAATAATAATAATAATAATAATAATAATTTTCTAATGACCAGTTTTTACTAATTAGTAATTACCATGCACACATACTGAAAAATTGTGTCGACCCTAAATGCAGATTCTGTGATAAATATCCGGAAACACTTGCATCAGGTTGCACAGTGCTAGCATCTACTGAATATAAAACTCGGTATGGCAGAATGGGCCAATATCTGAACTGGAAAATATGCAGGTTTTACGTGAAGAAACTGCAAGAAACACGTATGAACATCACCCAGACCCGGTTACAGAGATAGGACCTGTGGCAATTTCATGGGAATTTATAATAAAGGCTGTCATAATAATTAAAGCTAATCGTCCTGTCATCGTAATCAAAGACCACAAGAAGAGAATGTGCTTTCTTATTGACACGGCAGTTCCTACAGATTTAATATTTCTTTGAGGACCTTCAAAAAACTCTTAGAATACAAGAACATTGAAGTGGAAATCTCAAAAAATGTGGCACAAGAGGACATCATTAATACCAGTTGTAGTTGGAGCCCTCGGGCTAATTAGAAGTGATCCCGATAGCTATTCTTGGTAGCCCATACCTTAAAGAAATACAAAAAATTGCACTCAGAATTACAAGTCACACATTACGAAGAGCTTTGTCTATGTACAATGTGTGTGATTTTTTGTTTTTACAAAAATGATCAGTGGAAAATGTCCTGAAGCCATTTCTGACCTTAGGTCTCTGATTGGGACCCTAAAGAACATATGACCATAAAGGCTGATAAAATACATTTCAGAAAATGAATTTGATAAAATATGTGAAATTGTGGAAGTAAATTTAACATTTATATCGGATTATCATTCCAGTAGTAGTAGGCGATTTCATATTGGTAAGAAGAATACTGAAGCAAGCATCAAGAAAAAAAAAACATTAACGTTTATTTCATTAATTAACTGTCCTTCATTACTGTTCTTTTATTCGAGGATTTTGTTATTTTCATATCCAAAATAGTTCTGTTTGAGAATATCATCTTATATAGTGCAGAAAAATGTTTGAAATTTGCATTTTACTTGGCCTTCAACAAGTTGGCATCTATTTGTAAAACTTTCCATAACTATAACAAGCCAATCTATGAATGAAATGTTCATTTAAAATTTTTATTTCAAAGATTTCAAGTAGTGAATATATCTTAGTTTGCAAAGCTACAGCGAGTGGGCAAACTCTGCTAGTATTTAATATAAGCTTTACTTATTGCAGTTACAATAATTACCATGCGAATAAACAGCTAGAACAGTATCAACAAAAACAAAAAAGTACATAGAGAAAGATGATAATGTTTCTTAATATAATAATGTTAATTTTATGACGCCTTAATTTCCATTAAAATACACGACGAAACATTGTTGACAACGGCAATTATAAACTTCCGAAGTTACAAAATAACCAAATAGATATTCTTACATAGTCTGAATCGGTATATATATATATATATATATATATATATATATATTAGAGTACGTTTCCCCCTCTACAAGGTCTGGAGGCCAATCGAGGTAGAAAGTTACGTTAGAGGTTAGTTTATATTGATAGGAGGGAATATAACGGTTGACTGTAGACTTGAACAGTTTAAGATTGTAGTGATCGGGGAAACATCCTTTTAAGAGTCTGTTCCATTGGGCAGTGGTTCACGAGAAAAAGCTGAGTGGAACGTCTCACTGATGAAATATGGAGGAAATTAGGTTGATTTGTTGGCATGGCATGGCAGAGCAGGGCAGGTCTTAGTTGTGACGGCCAGACCAAGTGGAACCAGCAGATGCAGTTCATCCGAGTACTTTCCATGGTAATAGCGATCGAGCAGTGGGTGACTCGCCACATCACGCCTGTGAGAGAGAGGTTGAAGGGTGTAAAATAATTCTTCTCAAACACAGATTCGGAGACGCTTTTAAACTCTGTCAAGACTGCAAAGTGAGGCCTGGACAGACTCCTGTCTCGATAGTAAGTCTGATCCGTTTGATACGGCCAAAATGGCAGCTGATATCCAAAACGACCTCCCGTCTGATTTTAACTAGGGCAAATGATGGCTTGTCAATTTTAACGTTTGCAATACTCATCTGATCTCTAATAATCCTCTGAGAGAACCTTCTTTGCCTTCTATCGGCGTGACATGCGCTTCTTAGCGTAACGTTCTCGGCTGACATGAAGTAGAAAGAATATATTGAATCCATTGCTAGGTCAGCTGCAAGGAAAGTTGGTTCACTGTGCCGTGCTAGATGCTTTTACTCTGCAGCCTCTATCCTATTTATTTATGTGTCATGTCCTTTCAGGACGTAAGCGATCATGGCTCTCCACCCCTCTCTATCCCTTGCAGCACTCAGCAAGTTCCTCCCCTCTGATTCCTCCCTCATTCTGTCATCCACCTGCTCAAGCTCAAGGTATGTCATGTGCTGCTTTCCCTTGTCTCTCTTTTCCTCTATTTGACGCGTGAGTATCAAATTCTCCATCCTCATTATGTGTCCCAGAAACTTCAGCTGATTCTTAAATTTAAATATAATCCTTCTCCTTGATTGCAACCCCTATAAGACCTCATCTTTGCTCACATGATCGGTCCATGATATCCTCAGCATCCTTCTGTAGAACCACATCATCGTCGCCTCGAGTTTCTTCTTCATCTTTTAGGAAATCGTCCAACATTCACTGCCGTAAAGGACTGATGTCACGTAAAAGCTCAGTATTCTTTTCTTTGTTACAAATGAAATCCTCCTATCTCGCAATATTCTACTCAGCTTTTCGAATGTGTCCTTGGCCATGCCAATACATATCTCCCCTGTCATACTTACCGTCCTCTGTCAAGACGCTTCCAAGATATTTAGACTTCTGCGTCTGCTTGATTCTAGTGTTCCCGAACTGCAAATCGCATTTCGGGCTCTTCCTCTTAATGATGACCATTCATTCTGCCTTCTTATAGTTTTATTCAGTCCTTTCTTCTCACTCTCCGTCGCTACCTTCTGTAGGAGATTTTGTAATTTCCATTCTGTGTCTGCTATCAGTACTGTGTCGTCTGTGCATCTTATGTTGTTAAGGTTTGGCTGCCAATGCTAACTCCCGGTAGAGTTTTCAATTCTCTCAGAATTGCCTCGCTGTATAGATTGAACAGGTCTGGTGAGAAGACGCATCCTTGTCATACGCCCCTTTCTATTTTCGTATATTCACTGAACTCTTTCCCTATGCACATGCATGCTGTTTGCTGCCAATATAGGTTCTTGATTATTTTGATATCCCTTCCGAATATATCAAGGTTGCTGAGTAGTACCATCAGATCCTTGTGGCGTACTTTGTCAAAGACCTTTGCGTAGTCTATAAAACATAGGTACACGTCAAGTCTACCATTCATCCATGCTTAGTATATTCCAGCCACATATAGTCCGTTGTTCCTGCTATCTAGGGCTCTTTGATAAAATCTAAAAAAGAATCAGCGATATTATTGGCCCCAATCTGGCATCTAGGGTTCAGTAAACTTCCTACCACTTTCTTCCTTTGCTTTTTCTATAAATATTTTCATTGTAATTGTTCGAATGATAACGTCACCATGTTACCATGACTCTTCGAATTTAAGCGCAGTACGAGACTGCCAGCGTGGACTCACAAATTTACAATTGAGCCGATTAGATGTAACCGTAAATTCTATGCTAGCAGTTTCTTTTCTCGTACCTCACTTGTGGAAATTCCTTCTGGCTCCATGCTTTCCAGGAAACTTCGATTTGAAAAAAAATTAAATGCAATGCCAATCGCTATCTGCTGTCCTCCTGAATACACTTTCTCTGTTCTTGCGCATAACTAATATTCCTGTTTCTAACTCTTCCACAGCTAGTAACCTATTACGTCTCAGTGGCTTTACTGCCTTGATGGGTGTGAATAATGATAGCTTCTCATTTCAGAAATTCAGACAGATTAATTATCTTCTCAAGTCCAGTAATTGACATAGCTCTTTCCATTATTGAAGGGGTATTTCCTTCCTAAACATTTGTGTAAGGTAATGAAGTTAACAGATAGATTATATCATTATTTTATCTTCGTGTTACATATTCTTCCCATTTCTATTGTTGTTATTATTGGAATATTTCAAGTGGTGTGTTTTTGTCATTTGATAAAGCTTTCTGTCTGTGATCTTGTAGTGATAGACTAATGAATAATCGTCTTCATTAGAATTTATAGGATTTGTTTGTTTGGAGCCGTTTTCAGGCAGTGATTTGAGAAATAGGTTATATAAAGATGTTATTTGAGACATTTCTAGAGAAAATAATCCACACTTGTAAAACTAACCCTGAAACAGCGAAATGATCAATAACATTTAGTTAAATCATCGAGAAAATGATAGTAGAACTGATGAAAACGGTGAAATTGTAAATTGTTGAATGACTAGCATAAAATAAGGAATGGAGAATTATGGGATATCACAAGAGAAGACGATATATATATATATATATATAAAAAGTTTTGCAAATGAAAACATTTTAAGGTCAATAAACTGACAGAGACCGAATTCAGTAGGAATTATCGTCTCACATTTTCAATTATTGTCACCACTTTGTTATTGATTGTTTCATGATTACAGTTCTGAAAGGTTCGTGGAAAGCGCAGAGAAGAGAAAAGAACGGAGAGGAGAAAAGAATGAAGAAGAGAAAAGTGAAGAGAAGAGTAAAGAGCGGAGAAGAGGAAAGAACGGAAAAGAGAAAAGAGCGAAGAAAAGATAGGAGAGAACAGAGGAGAGAAAGAAGAGAGAAGGAAAAAAATACGGAGAAAGGAAAAGAACGAGAAGAAGAAAGAAAAGTGAAGAGATAAGCAAGGAGAAGAGAAAAAAGCTAAGAGAAGATAAGAGAGGAGATAAAGGAACAGAGAAGAAAAAGCAGCAGAGACAAAAAAAAAGGAGAAGAAAGAAAAGTGAAGAGAACAAAATGAAAAGAAAAGAGCGAATAAGAAAAAAGAGCGTAGAATAGAAAAAAAAACAGAGAAGAGATGAGAACAGAAAAGAGAAAATAACAGAGGAAAGAACAGAGAAGAGTAAAGAGCGAAGAAGACTAAAACAAAGAGAGAAGAGGAAAAGAGAGAATAGCAAGATAAGAGAAAGGACAGAAGAGAGAAAAGAACAGAGAAGAAAAAAAGCATAGAAAGAAAAGAAGGGGAAGAAAAAATGTGAAGAGAAAAGAGCGTAGAAGAGAGAGAAAAAAAAATAAGAGAAAAATGTGCAGAAGTGTTAAAAGCGGAGAAGAGACAAGAACGATAACTCAGGAAAATCTGTCAAATTGAAACAATGAAAGGTGGTTTATGGGCGTGACTAGAACTGACCAAACAACAAATCATATAAGATGTCGGCTGTATCAAACTTAAATCTTCAGGAGAAAATGAGACGTCGATTTATTTCAAAGATGAAAACAGCAGAAGACGAACAACTACGAGGCTGCAATTCGTGCCCTTTATTTAGTTCTTTATTTGTTTTTCTCGTGTTCACTTTGTAAAGGATGCAGTGAAGTCGAAAAGCTGAACAAAAGTTGGTGATGATGATGATCATAAGATGATGATAATTATGAGGAAGCTAGTAGTAATAAGAAGAATATTAGTTGGAGCAATTGTAGTAGTGGTTTGATTGATTTTTTTACGGCTTATCATCCCTTTGTGATTTATTTAAAGCCAAAATATTCTTTGGATTGTAAAAAATAGTTCTGACAAACCAAACTGGAATTCGAACTCCGCTCTCTGAGTTCTCATTCTGAACCACTATTTATTGCATTGATTCGTTTCTTACAGTTTATCAACTCTTTGCAGGTTATTTAATGCCAGGAAATGTTTTTAGATTGCAAAAATTTCTTTGCTGGGGGAGACAATAATGGTTTAGTGATACAAATTTTACTAATTACCGTATTTGACGGCATATAAGGCGCACTTTTATTTACTAAAAATATCTTTTAAATTTCCCCTGCGCTTTATATGCTATATGTAGGTTTAAAATTCGCGATAGTCCGCCGAAATTAGCTACCTGGAAACTCCTATAAGCTTAGGCTTTAGAGTAATTTTCATATACCTATTGTCATTATTTAAAAGGCTGTTATGCAGATTAAAAGTGTTATCATTGATAATATTCATTAATTTCATCACATTTGATATTAGTACTTTGTTACATTAAAATTATATTCAATAAATTCAAATAATAATATTTGTAAAATATATTTGTTTCATTATTATTTTTCTTGCGATAACTTCCGGTTCCATTGGTATAAATACAATCAGGTTTTTTTATATCATAATTATTCCGATAAGAGGTGGGCATCTCGAGGTGGTGTAATGGTTAACAAGCTTGTCTCGCTGGAACTATTAGGGCTGAGTAGTGAGTTCAATCCTCACTGAGAGCCCTTTACTTTCGGCCTTGCGCCACATCCAAGCTACGCTTGGAAAATCACTATTCCAATAAGAGGTTTACCAGACGCAGATTGTTCAGATCATATAAAGGATATAATAAAGTTTTTATAGGCTCGTGTTGTTTTTTCCTAATATTTTTCGTTTCATTGTAATCATGGCTTGTTTAATCAAAATGATTTCTCATAAATATAGCCTAGGCTGTACCATTTACTAATAATTTTACTAATTTTTTCTTGGTTTGCTCTGCTGAAATTGGGGTACATCCTATACACCCGTGCGTCTTATATGCTATCAAATACGGTAGCCCATAACTAGGAAAGAAGAGGTGAATTCACATTTTTCCCAAGGCTAGTTGAGAATTAGAACTCGGTTATCCGATTAACAATTCTGAGCCATTATCCATTACACCAACAGCACATCCAAGCTTACATCTTGCACCTGGTATTCTCAAACGGTCACCCATCTAGATACTGACAGGCCCAAAGCTGCTTAACTACGGTGATCGTACGGGAACTTGTTTTTCACCGTGAGTCTATTTATTTCAAGTAGTAGCAAGAGTAATTGTAATAGCAGTAGTAGTTATACATCCTTCACCCTCGCAGCGTCATCATTGGGGTGTGCCGATTGCATAGTCATCGTCGGGGTGTGCCGGTTGATCTTCACCATTCTTCCTATCTAGTCTTTCAAATCATCCTTCGCACTTGACAGGTCTTCAGATTGGCATCCTGTGTGTTCTCATATTTGCTGGATATATGTATGAGATGGATGAGCATTTCTAGTGTGTCTATAAATTTGCGCCCTCAACAGCACGTCACTAGCAAGCTCATCCTTAATTCTCTGGGAATGCATAGCAAATCTTCACTCCCATAATGACTTGTGAAATGAGAGGTAGATGGTGATAGAGTTGGTTTTGTAGTGTGCTCTTTCCTTTATAAATTCAATGCAACATGGTAGCATTCATCTATCATTGTAAAGGGTGTTCCAATAACTTGGACCAATTTTAAATGTGAATGTCTGATGATTTTTTTTCTTTTTGTTTCAGATTTAATAACTGAAGTCTTTGGCAGCTTCAACCATGGAGAGATTAACAATCAAACATCGTGTTAAAGTTATTGAAGCCTGTTACGAAAATGGACGTTCAAACAGAAATGCATTTCGCAGTTTTTTAGTCAACAGAATCGACCAATAGACAGTGTAATTAGAAATGATTAAGACGTTCAATTCCTGCGCACGATGACGAATAGAGGTGTCTGGATTTTTGGACACATTCTTGTGCACTGCAGCAATGTTTTCATAAACTCTCTGTTTATGAAACTATGGTTCTCTTGATAGTGAAATCTTTAATTAAAAAGATTGCTTGCCATAAAAAAGAACGCTATCTTCCATTAATACCTTAGCCGACCATTTTGTTTTTGTTTACACAATCTTGGTTACAATTGAACATTGTTTGACGGTGAAATAATTCCGTGACTGAGCGGTCTAAACTGTCTTAATCGTGGTTTCACTCCGGTTTTTTTTTGTTGTTGTCTGAATTTACTTTCTGTGTTTGGATATGACGATAAGGAGGCTGAGGTTTTAAATCAAGTTTTTCCTTCCTCTAGACGAACTGCCTTCCTAGGCTGTCGAACTCCATCTACCCGAAACAGCTGGTTATGAGACACCGCCTTCGCCCATTTTCCGGCTTGGAACTAGACTTAATTGTCAGAAGCATTTTATAGACAGTGGAAGCTTCTTCCTGTTAGCATCCCCGGTTATAATAAACTTCGCAACACCTATAATGCACGTATATAAACATTTCAGAAACTCCAAAAATTAACGGTTTTTAAATATATAAAACTTTGGGTAAACCAAAAGACTAGAAAGCAAGACAAATTACGAAATAGTAATAAATAAACACAGATATCGAAAAAAAATTGATAATCTTAGAAAAAGATAGCAAAAACCAAAAAATATAAATATAAACTTTTTGTTTCTTATTTATATTTTTATGTCTATTTGTCATATATAAGTGTCTACCCTGAATAAAATAGATCAACAGCTACATTTTCCTTAATTGACATAATATGCACCTAATCCAACAAATTTATGAAGGCTACTATACTATACATAAAATTAAATTTTTGTAGATTTACTCCATAAAACCCACAAACTGCCTATCCTGAGTAATTACTGACAGAACATGCCTTATATATATATATATATATATATATATATATATATATATATATATATTAAAAAAGAAAAAACAGACCACTTTAAGGTTTTATAATAATTTATTTCACCAGAGCCCTTTTAATGGACGCCGGATCATCAGCTAGTACTTCAAAAAGATGAAACGAAAAATGAAATGAAAATTGATGGGTAGTGTGACAGTATTTAGCGGTCGCGTGAAAATTAAAAACGAGAAATAATTAAGGCGAGAAGAAGCTATCACGAAAAGATATACTGAGCGATGTTATTTTTTTAACAAAGAAAAGTGATAAACATTTTATTTTCATTTGCGAAGGAAAGTATTTTTTTCGCAGAAGATAGGAAATTCGTAAGATCTCGGATCTGTCGGAATTAATTTATGCTACGAGGCGGCGAATAAAAGATAGCCATCTTGCCCATGGCAATAATGAAAATTTCAAATTGGTCAAGTGGCCTACAAAACAGAATGCTAAGAGATAATGGTAATCAGGTCAATGATGCGACCGAGAAAAAAAGATCAGTTGAGACCACCCTAAAAAAAAAAAAAAAAAAAAAAAAAAAAAAATAAAAAACTATCTTTCGGAAAAAAATAGTTTTTGGAAAGAGACCACCTGTTTTATTGTCCAGACCTGGACATGATAAAAGTTTGTTACCGGGATGGATAATTGGATACAGAGTGCGAAGACGTCCAGTTAACCACCCATTTGACACTGGCGAAAATCTCGTTGATAAATTCCAGATGACATTCGGTTAAGATAGAGATTAAGGACCACACTACGAGTCGTAAGGGTTTGGTGTAAAAAAAAAAAAAAAAGGATTTTTTCCCCTTTGAGCGATAATTGTAAACACCCGCGCTGCCGAGCGTCATTGGCTGAGTGGTGGCGTGAGCGGTGGGCGAAGGTAAACATATGCGAAGGAGGGAAGGCCTATTGACGCCTCTGAGGGGATTGGTGTGAGATACCACTGTGAGAGAGAAGGGAGGTCTGTTGACACCTCTGAGGGGATTGGTGTGAGATACCACTGTGAGAGAGAAGGGAAGCCTGTTGACGCCCTCTGTGGGGATTGGTGTGAGATACCAACATGAGAATGGGAAAATTTGGGAGGACGATTCTCTTAAGAACCACTCTAAGGAGAAAGTAATGGACTTCCAAAAATGGAAAGTGATAAATTTTCCTGTCCGAAAACAAAGAAAATCCTTATTGTGGATTTAGAATTATCGAGGAACCCCAAAACACGAAAATCCACATCCGGTTTTGGTCGGCGTCCAGATAAGCAGAGTCGCAGCGAGTTAGTAAAGCAGAAAGCAGTTGAAGTTGGAGTTGAAGAGAGAGACACAGACGCAGACAGAGTTGAGCTGTGAGCTCTTAGACCAGCCTCGCAGGAAGCTGACTGAAGATCCACGAATCCCGACTTCGACTTCTAACCAAGAACAATTTATTTTTGAAGAACGACTTAGACTCACACCACCAAAACAAGTTTTACGAATATCACCTGAAGATACAAAAACCAATTATCGAAAAACAAGACTCACCTAACATACGCAAAGTGTCACGTATCCATATTAGCGGGTTAGGAGAAAGATGCAGTCCTGTATTCAGCAACCGGATATAAAAATATTTGTTATTTTTTTTAACACATTTGAACTTTTCGAGTTGTTACTTTATTTTCTTTTACATATACGTGTGCGGTGTTACCTTTGCTCGGACTCGGCTTGCATTACGGCCCGGCGACTGATTGATTTCGTCTACCTAAGATCAAATCACAACGTGGGTAGGTTAGACTAGAAGTCAAAGCAGTTACTTCGGTAACCAGACGTTGGAGGCGAGCTGGGAACGACAAAGCTGATACCGAATCTAACCAGATTCACATCCGAATCAGCCAAGCGTTAGAACGTCACATTTGTTGCCGGACCAACAGCAGGATCACGTCACATTTGGTGCCTCGACCAATACCAAGTCACATTCGTCGTCACGGAGTAGACAGGGGCAGAGAGGCCGGGGTGACGTCACAAGTATATATATATATATATATATATATATATATATATATATATATATATATATATATGTGTGTGTGTGTGTGTGTGTGTGTCTATCGCTATATTTTTTCTTAATATGTTGTACGAGTCATTGAGAAACAGAAAGTAATCACATCATCTAACCGTTGTAAAAGATTCTAAGACTAAAGTATTTGCAGCCCCTAATTTAATCTACCAAAATGAATCAATAATACTGAGAAACCTCCTGCTGAGATCTTATCTATTTTGAGAAAAAAGAAAATCATAAGACGAACGTCACGTGATAAGGAACTGTTTTCCGATGTACAAATTTGCACATTTTTTGATGAAATATTGCCGTTATTAATATAATGATATTTTATGTGTTTTTTTACTAATCTTTGTTTTTGTTAAATTTGCTTACTATTTCTTTCGTTTTTGCGCTGTTATAGTAAGACACAGTAACATGGATATGAAAGTGTGCGTTCAAAATTCGCTGGAAATTGTTTTTATTTGCAATTCCAAAAGATTTCATGTCGATTGTAGAATAGAGATCTAAGAGCGAGCGATCTAAGAGCGATGAAAAGAAGTTACAATAACAAGATAACTCTCACTTTCTCCCTCTCACATACACAAATATATATATATATATATATATATATATATATATATATATATAAATTTGCAGTCTGAAAGGACGTGCTATTTGAGCCTCAAAATGGTATCTTCAACTACAGATAGCAAAATGAGTTGGAGTAGCTTCCAGAAAATTGAGAAATATCCGACAAAAGCCCGCAAATTTCTATGCATATATATATATATATATATATATATATATATATATATATATATATATATATATATGAATTAAGACGAAAAGAAAAAAAAAACTTCCTGTACTATGATGAAGTTTATCGAAAAGCGTTGGTAAAGAATAGTTTTCCTTTTGTCTTTATTCCCCTTTCACAGTTATATTTTATTTAGTTTTTTCACACTTGCATGTACGGATAGATAGATAGATAGATAGATAGATAGATATGTCCAAACTCTTATATATAGAATACAAAACAACAAATTGTAAAATATGATAAAAAATTGAATAGGGAAAAGTCGCTGGAGGAATTTAATAAAAATCATGTATATATATATATATATATATATATATATATATATATATATAGATAGATAGATAGATAGAGATACAAGAGTGTGTGTGTGTGAATATGTGCGTGTAGAATACATATGGTCTGATGATTTTTTAAGATGTGAAACTTCATTCTCTATGCAGTGTTGTTTTATATATCCACAGTGTTTATTATTATAAACACTGTCTCCGATATTGAGTAACCTTTTCCCTTAAATATTTCAAAATTTAATCACACGCGGGCGTACACACACATTATTGGGAATACACACACACACATATATATATATATATATATGTGTGTGTGTGTGTGTGTGTCTCAGTGTGTGCATAAGCATATATGATAATATATAAACGTTTCTTATGTAATAGCATCTTCAGTGGCAGAAATATATGAACAGCTTTGTCCGAGAAATGTTCTAATTAAAGCCTCAGTGTAACGATATAAATGGTGTAGCCAATGATTTAACTTATGGCTCAGTGTGACGACATAAATGGTGAAGATTTTAAAGCTCTTATTTTTTCATTGTCATTATTTACTCCTAACATAACCTTTTTCTTTCTTAAGCAACGCGCTAAGAAGAAAGGAAAAAAAAAATAGCCGCGAAAAATAACATCCCATAATTTCTCTCGTAATCTGCCACTGTGACTGCCAGCCAAGAAAAATCCCGATGTCACCTTCCATTCATTTTCCCTTAGGGTTCCCAATATTTCTTTCTTTCAGCCCCTTTTTTCTAACAAATTTTTATTTTGCGTCTCGCTGCCCCATTTTCTATTGTCTTCAAATAGTTTCGCGACGACAGGACGGTTGAAGGCCAACGATATAACTCATTTCAGAAAGTGAGTTTTTCTTTTTAAATTGTATATGGCGGCTAGTTTTTAAATGTTTTTCTTTTCACTTTGTTCAAAATAGTTGGTTCGTACAGTTTTTCAACGTGATATTTCAGCTAATATAACCTAACTGTCATTTCCCTTCAAAGAAGACCATCAAATCAAACAATAGTGTCCCTAACATTCAGCAATTAGAAGTGTTTTTATAGGCACCCCTAAAAGTTAAGGGGCGTCATTAGGTCGTTGTGATTTGCTGGCTGTTACCAGTTATTGTAAGCGATTTGTTCGAATGGCGATTCTTAGCGATACCCTACCGCGACATACAGACAGAAACCCTAACATAGGAAAATCCGAAACTAACGTCGACCACCCAACAATTAGCAAAGTCTATGTACTGTAGCAGTTCGCGAAATTTGCCTTTATTTATTGATCAACATTCTTCAAATTACAGAGAAGATAAATTTCGTTGTAGGAAGGTGGGAGGCGGAATTACTTTGGTTTTTGTTTAATAGATAGAGAGATAGACATACTATTTTTTTTTTTACAAGGAATAACACAAACGCATGCATGTTCTCGCTGTTGGAAGAATAGAAAAAATGTATGCCACTATTTTGCGGTCGATACGTCTCGAAAGCAAGATTTTGAAGTGTTCTCATTACACTGACAGAAAAACTCACCTGTCGTTAGTCAGTTATGTGCCATACGTGATACACGCGTAGGTGATCATGTATCTTTCGATACATGACTGACGAGGCAGAATTTTTCCCGTTGTAGGTTACCATTTCTTTCTGCGGTAGACCAGATGCCATCCAAAGTTATAGAACCCAATCTGCTATTTACCCATAGATAGGGGGAGAAGAAGGGTATTAGCATGTGAATGCAATGGATTCGACTGGAATTCGAACTCAATCAATCAATCAGAGCCGCTATCCATTACTCCACCGTGCTTTCAGAGAAACATAAATATTCTACTTTGAATATCATAGGAATTAATTTATAGACGTCTTTTATTCTTCTTCTTCTATATGCCGAGTTCCTTCTGAACGTTGATGATCACGACGCTCCACAATTTCCTGTCTGTTGTAGTTTTTAATAAATTTTGTCATTTCGCTATCTCTCCTAAATTTTGTTCCGCCATTAATTTATTCTAGCTTGCTAGGTAGGTTATGCGTTGCTTTCATCTGCCCTTCTTGCCTTTAATATGTCTTGTGTGTATCAAATTTTCCAAGCCCCTTTCCTTATTATGTATTCTAGAAACTTCAACGATCTCTTTCTGATGGTAATTACATTTAGATATATAAAAATTACATTACATATATAAAATTAATGTGAAGAAATTTATAACTTAACTGAGTGGTGTTGGTTCAGTCATGCCGACTTCGAAGTTTCGTGAACGCATTGCAGTAATGCTTTCATCCTTTAGGGATGTTGGCTTCTCTGCAGAGAAGCCAATAGCCCTGAAGAGTGAAAGAGTCTAGTCTACACTACTATCCAACTCATAGCTGTGGCGGGGGATACAAAATGCATTCATTGTGCTAAAGTAAACGCAACAGACTAGGTCTGAATTTCAACTCGGGGCGCTGATTCCACTTTTCCACCCTGATAACCGTTAGGTTGTCCGCACATATTAGGAGATTAAACTCCATCGGCCGGTCTTCTGAAGCTGAGATAAACTGTGTAACATGATGATTAATGCTATTAATAGCAGTTGCTTGTACGTCTGCTTAGCAACATACGCAGAGGTGTACTTATATTATGTCATTTATAACGCCGCAGAAAGTGGAATAGGGGATGTGTAGGTAATGGATAGCGGCTCGGTTAGGGAAATCAGAGGACAGAGTTCGAATTCCAGGCGAGTTTGTTATAATCACTTACGCACAAATATCCTAGGGAAAGGTATGAATTCATCTCTTCCTCCAGTATGGATTAAATAGTAGAAAATATTTTCTTTTTAGAAAATCATTGCTATCATAACCCCAAAATGTCTATAACATATTCACTCATATATATATATATATATATATATATATATATATATATATATATATATGTGTGTGTATGTGTGAAAATATATATATATATATATATATATATATATATATATATATATATATATATATATATATATTATTTATATATTATATGCGCGGTACTTATTAGAAAGCGCTCAATATCAGAGATAGAGCTAACATATTTGGTTGTATTGATGTGAGTTTGTGACCCTGGGTTTCACGCTTTTGCAATCGTCAGACAAACTCTGACTATTGCAAAAGCGTGAAACCCAGGGTCACAAACTCACATCAATACAACCAAATATATATATATATATATATATATATATATATACAATTCAAAATATATTTCAGCCTTAAGTAAAATCGTAAGGGTTGATAAACCGTAAACACAAAGTAAATTAAATGATGTTTATTTTCGGGCTTTATATCCCTTCATCAGCCAAAGATTTACATTGACTGAATTTTACGTTCGAAGAAGATAGTAGAAGAATAATTTTTCTCGGTTTCAAGGCGTCCAGGCAATACAAGAAAATGCGCGACGAGGCAGCTGCTCGCTATTTCAAAAATGGTGTTCCAAGAATGTTTCTTTCAGTGGAAACAACGCCAGAAAACGTGTGTGGATTCAGGAGATAACTACTTCGAAGGAGATTAAATGTCGAATTGATATATTTTGTAGTTTTCTTTTTATGAGTGCAGTCCGGATAACTTTATGATCCGACCTCTTATTATGCTAAAATACACTCTTAAAATATCCGTTTTTAAAATCATAAGTGTATTTCTAAGAATTTTGGATTATTGTCCGTTACAAATTTGTTTTGCTCTGTCAATATAAATCTGAAAATGATGAAAGGAATATGTGTCTCGAAGCGTTCAATAAAAATATAATATCGATTATACAGATTTTTTTTTGCAATTCTCTCGTGTCGTGTATAAATGAAATGATTTAAATATCTAAATCGTTTGGAAGGTTGTATGCTCTTTTTAAGAAATAATTAAGACATTACAAACGCTGCCGAAGCTGTTACATTAAAGAATAACAGATCGGACATGACGTAACGAAGCTAAGTTTTTGAGAAAAGTAGGAGAAAAAAAAGTCTTTGAACTTCTCTTGTAACCATCAGACATGACATCCGGATTTAATTGCTATACAAATCGCTGACATTCACAAAACACTGGTTTCGAATCATTTTGCTTTTTTTTTTTTTTTTCCTTTTCATTTCTCGTGTCCGATATTTGAACGCATTTTTCGCTTTGTGTAAATTTTATCCATGAAATGAAACGAGGGAATTAGATAAGAGAAATGAAGAAATAGAAATTCGATGTTTTTAATTTTTCAAAAAAAGAAATAAATATAAATTAAC